GGGGGGAGGGCCCCCTACACAAGCTAGAAAACCACTGGGACAGATGGTCGTGCAGTGTCGCGAGTCTCCCGGTCCTAGGTGATGAAGACCAATGGTTAGAGCGAGCCATGGCTTAGCCTGCTACCAGTCTCTGAGGTTGAACTCCTACTTCCAAGCAACTGTTCCTCTGTCCTGGCAGGGTAGCAGGATGGACCTTTGTCCCTTACAAGTCCATCAGCTCCTCCTGTTTATCCCTGCACTGGGAGCCGGAGCCCTCTGATGGGATCCAACTTATGGTGTCTCAGGAAGCCAGGCTATTTTGGATGGCAGATAAGCAGCCGAAATGGATGAGCTCTTAGGGTATGTCTACACTAGCCCCCTAGTTCCAACTAGGGAGGCTAATGTAGGCATTCCAAGTTACAAATCAAGCCTGGGATTTAAATACCCCACGTTTGATTTGCATCTTCCTGGCCGGCCGCCATTTTTGAAATGTACAAACCTGGACTAGCTGCCTGTGTCTACACGCGGCAGGGACCCGGTAGTTTGAATTAAAGCCCGCGTTCGAACTACCTGTTGTTCCTCCTGGAAAGAGGTTTAACAGGTAGTTTGATTTAGGGCTTTATTTCAAAAATGGCGACCGGCCGGGAAGATGCAAATCAAGCTGGGATATTTAAATCCTGGGCTTGATTTGCAACTTGGAATGCCTTCATGAGCCTCGCTAGTTCGAACTAGGGGGCTAGTGTAGACATACCCTAAGGGTACATCTACACTGCACGCTTATTTCGAAATAAGCTATTCCAGAATAGTTATTCTGAAATAGCTTATTTTCAAATACCTATTTTGGAATAGGCATTTTTCCTCACAGAAGAAGATTTACAGATTGGAAATAATGGAATGGCTGTGTAGTCACTCACAGCCTGGGCCTCCCTCGGCTCAGATGTGCAAGAGGAACAGGGGGAGTTTCTTCTGCTTCTCGGTAGGGGCCACGTCAGTTTTGTTTCGGTTTTTGTTGTTGGGTTGTTTTGGTTTTTTTGGCTTCTCACTTGTATGTGGCCCTCCGACCGATTCCTTTGTACCTGGGAATCGTAGCACCTACGCCTGGATCTTTACCTCTTGTGCCAAGGGGGTAGCTCCATCGGCTTGTTGCAGCAGTAGGCTTTTATCCTGTGTGCAGCCCGGTTGTTCTGGAGAAATAGATAACGTGCAGCATTTTGTATTTGCTCTGGCCTGGGGCTTTTGGTCCATCAGTCCCTCGTTGGCTCTAGTTATAAAAGGCGAAAGGGGAGGGGGATGCCGTGGGTACAGGACTGGGAAACTGAATGCCGTGGCGGCCGAATGCTAGTTCTACGCCCGTATCTGCACCTACACTTCCCTGGGATGCCTCCATTGGTGAGCAAGAGCTTTGCCCCCTGGCTCCTTGAGAGCAGGGGATTCTAGTCTGGGTGCTTCTTGGTGCTGGAGGAAACTGTCTCTTGTCAAGAGCCCCCCTTTGCTGATGAGAGGTGGCGAAGCCAGGAGGGGAGTCGTGCTGCTGCCGCTCTGTGGCATCCTCACTACCTGTACAGATGTGGTCTCCTCACCTCAAAAAAGATATTTTGGCCTTGGAAAGGGTTCAGAAAAGGGCAACTAAAATGATTCAGGGTTTGGAACGGGTCCCATATGAGGAGAGATTAAAGCGACTGGGACTCTTCAGTTTAGAAAACAGGAGACTTTTTGATATGCTATGATATGATCTGATAGAGGTCTATAAAATCACAAGTGGTGTGGAGAGGGTGAATAAAAAAAGTTATTTATTAGTTCCCATAATAGAAGAACTAGAGGACACCAAATGAAATTAATGGGTAGCAGGTTTAAAACTAATAAAAGAAAGTTCTTCTTCACACAGCGTGTAGTCAACCTGTGGAACTCCTTGCAAGAGGAGGCTGTGAAGGCTAGGACTATAATAGAGTTTAAAGAGAAGCTAGATAATTTCATGGAGGTTAGGTCCATAAAAGGCTATTAGCCAGGGGATAAAATGGTGTCCTTGGCCTCTGGTTGTCAGAGGCTGGAGAGGGATGGCAGGAGACAAATCGCTTGATCATTGTCTTCGGTCCACCCTCTCTGGGGC